CAGAACAATTTTACTGTGTGATTCCAGCTCTTCCCAATGATGTATTTGTACAACGGTTTCACAGACAATTCTTAGAGCTTCTGTGTCGGTTAGTGCCTTTAGCTTAATTCCATTGACAATGACATCTGTGATAACCTTCGCCAGACATGCAGGAGCAGCTGTGGTGATGATAGAAGAAACCACGAACCATAAGGCGGAAGCAGTATGTTTTATGGGTGTATTAAAACGACAAACTTTCTGTGAATGTCCTTATTTCCCATAAAACTTGCAGATTGTGTCTCTAGCGGGACACTTGTGTCGAGGATGACGATCGTAGCCACAGAAATAGCATTTATGTGACAGCTTTGTTCAAGCGGTAGCCAACGTGGTGTCCAAAGGTGCATTGATGTCTGATTTTTCATGGGCAGCGGATTCATCAGCTATGGTGTTGCAAGTAACCGCGTTGCAGTAACAACATCGTCATCCACATCCGCATCCTCATCACCATCATCACCACCACCAACCCCACCATCATCATCATCATCACCATCCTCCTCCTCCTGATCATCATACACGTTAGCTAAATGTGGAAAACACTTCAACTACTCTGCTGCAATACATAGGAAAAGAACTAAAACAAGTGCGCGCCAGCTGGGAAACCAGTAACGGATGGGCATTGTTCCGGAAAGCTATCAGCTGGCTACTGTGCAGCGAAAGCAATTTATTATCCAAAATTTACATGATACTAAGAAATGCGACTGCGGTTGGAGGGGGAGGCTAAAAGGGATGGGGAAGGACAAATAAACGACACGAACGCCACCGAGGTCCGCTCCTAGTCATGTCAACAAGGATATCCAGTCAAACCTGTTCATTGTCTTTCGGATCCCAACCAGAGAGCCGAGACGCTCCAGTCCATGCCAACTTCGAAGTAAGGGCCTTCATTGTTCTCGTTCAAGTCATCGCTTGACCATCCCCTCCGCTGCTTCCATCCACACCCCCGGTGCGCAAACAACGCACATCCCGGGAGTCGGTGGGCTGGCATGCGTAACACGTGGCCGAGCCATCGGAGCCTGGTGCGTGAAATAACGGTGCTGAGCGGTTCATTTCCTCTTCATGTGCCCTAAGCAAGGCGTCGAACACGCTCGTTGTTCACGCGGTGTTCCCACCAAATGTGAGCCAAACAGCGAAGGCACCGGTGGTCGAACGTAACTAGCCTCATCAGGTCCGTTGCTTTAAGGGGCCAGGTTTCACAACCGTACAGTAGGGTCGAACGTACCGCTGCATTGTACACTCTACCCTTCAGGGCGAGAGCGATGTCGCGCCGCCGCCATAGGTGGCGAAGACTAGCAAAAACACTTCGAGCTTTTGCTATACGCTTTGTGATCTCATCTTGGCTCCAAAGGGCGTTGATACAACTCCCCAGGTAGTTGAATTTCTGGACGACTTCTAGCTGAACCCCACCAGAAGTCAGCGCAGGAGGCGGTCCAGACCAATCTTGGAGGAAAGCTTTGCACTTCGAAGGTGCAAAGCAAAGCCCGAAGTGACGGACAGCTAGTGCTAAGCTGTCCAGTGCGGCTTGGCACGTCTGGAAGCTGTCACAGATGAGGACAATATCGTCAGCATACTCCAAGTCAAGAAGTCGTTCTCCTGGGAGCAGATCCACACCTTGGCACTCGTGTCCTGTGAACGCAATCTACATTTCTTCCTCAGTAGCGAAGTTGGAGAGGAAAGGTGACAACGGGACTCCTTGTCTTACACCACTGGAGATATTGAAGTGTGGTGACAGCTTCCCGTTAGCCCTCACTCTGCCCGTGCTAGGCGCATATAATGCTCGGATAATATTTACATATTTCTGGGGCATACCTTTCCTGAGATGACAGTCCTACATCGATCCACCTTTGATGCCGAAGTACACGACTACGGTGGGTCGCCAATATACATGGCAGTGCTCCAACCATTGGTCGATTCTGCCTAGATTTCGACGAAACGCGGCTTGCTCTTCACGAATCTGACTTTCACGAGTGCCGGTTAGTTTGTGAAGGATGACAGAGGCAAGCAATTTGGAGGCGATGCAGATCAGGGTAATTCCTTTATGGTTGCTGCGTTCCGATCGTGAGACTCCCTTGAAAATTGGGACTATGACAGAGCGGCTGCAGTCGGTTGGGACAGTTTTCAGCTCCCGTAGTTTCACTAGTAACTCGCGTAAATCATCCGCAAGAGTAGAGCCTGCGAATTTGAAGAGGGCTGGAAGAAGATCACCTGGTTTCGCGACTTTATTCAACTTCAGCAGTCCGATTACATGTCCGACTTCTGAGCGAGAGGGACTGACCACGGAGCAGGGCGATCAGTGGCTGGCGAAAAATCTAACAATTCCGGCTGATTAAATTGTCTTTCAGAGTGCTCAACCCAAGCTTTCTGACAAGTTGTGGATAGGCTGTCCACTCTCGTCACGTATAGTTTCACTAATACTAGGTATCCTTCTGCCCGTTTCCCATATCAGACGGAATAACTTCAATGGTTGCCACTTCCATCTCTGACACACGATGAGACCACCAAGATTCGCGGTCTCTCTTCAGACTAGCACGGTGTTTTGCCCGGACGTTAATGCTAGCCTCATTGTTGAGGGTCATTTTGAAGTACACGTTGTGTGGATGGATTACGACGCGCAATCTCAATGTTGACCGCGATTTCCACTGAAGTGAACCTTGGTCTTACGATCACGAGGGCCGTAGCTGATGCAAACAGAAATTGGGTGCTGCCCGCCCGAAAACACTGCACTGCTATGACGCGTTTTGATGATATTGCATCTCATCAGATAGAGTTAGCAGGCATCGAACCCGGGATCATTGGGATGTCAGTTGTGGCCGCCGGCCCCAAGCCACCGGGTCACGACGGGCAATGCTTGGCACAACGGTTTAATTAACGATGTTGGGGGTCATTTGGAAGCGTTGTCCGTCGTGACCCGGTGGCTTAGGGGTAGCGGTCACAACTAACATCCCAATGGTCCCTGGTTTGATGACTGCTAACTTGATCTGATGAGATGTAATAATATCGAAACGCGTCATAGTAGTGCAGTGTTTTCGGGTGGGAAACACCCAATTTCTACGAGCCTCATTGTGTTCGCTTCCAGCCCAAATGTGCTGGCGAGCATCGATTAGTTCCAGAGACCGTGAAAGGACCCAGTATCCATGTTGGCTAGCAGACTTGCCCAGGAGGATTTGCCTGCCACTAGAGAGGTCTGGTGAACTTGCGACCAGTGGCCTTCAGTTGTATTCAGTGAGCGCGTACTCAGCCGGCGTGTCAGCCTGCTTCGACATGCATTCAGAACAGCTAGGTTCGCCATTTGGCTAATGTCAGTGCGCTCACAGGGTCGTTGCGGGCGTCCGCCAAAACGCACCCACAGATCAACACATACAAGTGCATGGTCAGTGTCTACACATGTGCTCCGAATCCAGCGACAGTTCTGGATGCAGCCTCTCCAGCGGTAACGGATAGCAATGTGATCGATCTGCGTCCATGGCTGGTTCGACGCTGGCGGGCGCCAAGTCACCCTCCGGCGGATGCTGTGTCGGAAGTTAGTGCTCGCAAGAAATAAGCGGGCATCTTCGCACAAATGCAGCAGTTGCTCACCGTTATCATTGCTGGAGCCTGCACCTTGTTGGCCACCCAGATGCAGTTCATTAGTGGACAATTTCCCAACTTGAGCGTTCAGATCCCCAGACAGCACTACAGTGTCCGTGCTTCTTCTGTGGTGAACGAGCTCGTTCATTTGAGGATAGAAGTCGTCTTTTACCGAACCATCGCTACAGTTTGTGGACGCGTAGGCAGTGTTGACGTATGGACACGTATTAGTCCCGCGCTACTTCGAAGTTTTGAACGAGCCAACCAATCGGACCACACACATCCGGCTGCTGATTGGGATCTAATCAACCAAAGCAGCTTCAGCCCGGGAAGTCAGGGCAATACTAACACTGGCTTGGCCGGTACTCGAAGCTACATCGTCTCCGGATAAGCGGAATGAGAATGCACTGCTGTTGTCACCTAAAGAGGATCGCATAGTGAGCACAGAGCTCGAGTCTTGCAGCCGGGTTTCTATTATACCGCCTGACTGCTTGGAACCCACTTCAAACAGAAAGCAAAAACGCACGACGCTAGGCAAAGCTTTATAGAAAAATGACTTATGAGCAACCGAAATACACAAATGTGGATAGATCAATCAACCGACCGTGTGAGAGAACATTGTCACGAAGGGTAAACAGTCCAACTTTGAACGACTGACATGCGTGAAGCTGCCTAACACAATCACGTGACAGGCATAGCCACGCATGTGAACCATTTACTTCTGACTTCGTAGTGCTACCTGACGAAACAATCTAGCTCCAGACGCTTCCAACCACAGTGCTTTGACAGCCTATACCACGTGCTGAGTATATGCAGGCATATGATTGACTAAAAATGTTATGTTGCAAAATCTTCGCGAACTACCAATCAACATGCGATGGAAACTGCTCTTCTCAAGAGTTTGACCGACCATGTTGAATGACAAGTTCTCCACGTGCTTTTTCCAATTATCTGTATCATCAACAAATTTGCGAAACCCTTGTACAATTCGATCGGACCAACATACTGGGTCGTGTCTCGCACAGTCGAGAAATAAACAAATTTATTTATTTATTAGTATCAGATATGGTTTGTTTGCTTAATATCATGTAGATTATGGTTAGAACATTGTTCTGGGTTCTACCAGAGCTCATCTCGGCCAGGTTGACAGTGCCAACCTACTTTTCGAGCATCGCAGAAGCGGCGGGCGCGTTTTGTCGATATAGTTTACTGCCTACGATAATGACGCTATTTAACCTACATTTGTACTTACATCGCGACATCAAAGATACGCTTCTTTGCCGTTCTACCATCACATCCACACATTTCTACTAATCACATGCAACGGTCTTCACTAAATCAATACTTTTATTCTTGCTTCAGCTCTGTGAATCTTGCCCTATCCCTGTGGTCCAAAAGCGATGGAAGAGTTTTCCTCCGTTTGTGATTCCTTGCGAAATGCATCCGGTCACAAAGAGCGTTCTCAGCTTATATACAACTTTATCCGCGATCCAGATAAAGGTGGCACCATTAAGTTTTTCTTTGATGCAGCTATTTTCAGGGGTTTTGAAAAGCAATGCGAATTTATTGCTTCGTATGCTGCTACCGAAGGAAACTAAACGAGTGTATGGTTTGAAAGACAAGCAGTTGATTAATTTATTCCATCAGCTTCTCGAAATCGATCGAGATGAACTAACCAAAGATTTGGAATCTGCTGTCTGTGATATATATGGCAATATTGCATCGTCGTAATCCTATCCTTTAGGAGGATGTGGCCTCTACAATTGGTCACTTTTTCGATTCCGCTGAGAGTTGCGTATCACCAGCGTCGAAAAGTTCTCTCTCCCTTGAACAGGTGAGCTGTTTTATATTGCTCACATCATCTGCTTCGTCCTCATCTGTTGTTCCTCTTTATCTCAGAAACTTATATGTTATATTAGCAACTAAGCATTAGCGAACAATGACTTCCGAAGATCTCGGTCTGGGAAGCATCTTTTGCTCAAGAAATTCAACCATCAGCAACCTTGCGGTTCTCTTTTCGGCTTTTGGCATTGATCTTAGCTTGATCCTTGAATAACCACCTGACTTCGTTAGCCACGCCTACAAACAAACCTGGCCATCTTTTAGACCTCTAGTTCTAACACTTCTTTGCTCAACTATCCCTCTTTGAAATTGCGAGGTATCGCATCTGGATTCACTACAAGGTTGAAATATCATGCAATATCAGCAAGACTTCAACCGCCTATCCACATGGTCTGTAGCAGTTCGCCTCCCCTTCAACCCAGCCAAGTCTGTATTTATGAGCCTGGTGAAGGGTGCTGATGGCCCAACCTACATCCTTGACGGCCAACCACTATATCCCACATCCTCCGTGAAGGACCTAGGTGTATTCTCGCGTTACGATTTGATGTCCGTGGACAACACGAACAAGCTGTATCGTAACGGACTGCGCTTGCTTTGGGCGCCCAAACTTAGCTTCGGCACCTGGTCTGAAGAGGTTGCCACTCACCTCTTCTCTTCCATCATCAGACCAGTGCTAGAGTCCGGTTCGCCCGCCTACTTTCTTATTACCCGAAGCGAGGCACAAAAGATCGAACGGGTCCAACACGTTGCTACCAGGCTCATCCCGTGTTTACGTGGCTTGAGGTATGAAGACCGGTGAGAGAAACTAGGACTCTACTCCTTGTCCTACCGTCAGGTGCGAGTCGACCTCATTATGACCTACCGTATTCTACATCTCAGTGACTTCTCATGCTGAGGCCAATGCTGCATTTACGAGGGACATGCAGCACACGCGGACACAGATACATACTTGTCGTGCCGGATGTGAAACGTGTACCCTACCCACTATGCTTCGAACGGAGAGTGGTAAATATCTGGAACAATTTGCCTGAACTTGTGATGGAGGCCAACTCTGCGCAGCAGTTCAAAACGTTGTTAGATTTATATTTTACCACTATTCGATTCAGAGAACGATTGCACAATTACGATGATATGTCACATTTGTGAGTCCTGCAATACTGTGAATCAGATATTTTAAATGTTACATAAGAACGACAACGATATTCACGGCTGACAACTTTTATAACCTTTTTACCATGTTTCGGAAGAGCTGCACAGAATTCATTTCTACTTGCTCTATAATACAGTATTCAGTATCTCGTCTGTAGTGAGAGAGTTAGGTAACCAACTGTAAAACTTGGGATTCGTCACAAGTAAAGCTCAATTGATTTCGAGCCAAGTCCATGGCAAGCTTTGTCTGATTCGCAACGCTGCGCGCTCTTAGACATACTCTGCTCCCCTATCACCATGTTCTCTACATGTTTCTCTGCACCGTTATTAGTTACTATCATCGCAACGCGGCTTGCTGAAATTGGATCCACCAACTATAAGTGTTCGGATCATAGCTGAATTGCTGATACGAAATTGAATCAGTTCATGGTATGGTTTACTTATAAATATCTTATCAGAGGAATACCCTTCTCTGATGATTCAAGGCTTGCCTGGCCGAGGGCTGATACAGTTTCTCAGTTGCCAATCGGAGGAGACACTTGGTGCGCCTCCCGGTAAAGTTCATGGACAAACGACAGCGTACCAAGAGATGATCAGAGTCGACGCAGATATTTCAGTACGAGCGACAATCCAGGATGGAACCACGCCACCTGTAACTTGTGTATATGTAGTCAATTTGGGTCCCTCGCTGACCAGTTACAGGAGGACGCCAAATGGCACTTCGGCGCCCACTGTGTCTAAAAGCAGTGCTACTAAGAAACAACTGGTGTTCCGCACACAGTTGCAGAAGACGCTGGCCGTTGTCAGTCCGTTGGGAGTTAAGCCCATAATTACCACCCAGCTGAGCTTCTGAAGAGCTCAGACGCCCTACTTATGCGTTCATATCCCCTACAAGTACTACAGTATCTGAACTAGTAACACTGCGTAGTAGCACGTTCAGTTCGTGATAGGATGTGTCATTGACTGCATTATAACTGCAGTCGGTGGGATCATAAGTGGTAAGCACAAACAAACAGAGTTTTTTACTACTTCGTGAATCAGCCTTGGCTGATGTCGTCAAACGGGCTGCACATAAATAGCTGTTCACTGGAATTCCATCAACCCACGATGGCTCAGGCCTGGAGCTTAGAATGATACCTACACCAGCTTGACCTGTGAGTGCGGCATCGGCGTCTTCGGATGCGTGCAATCAATAACGAGAGGATAAGCCGGGTGCAGTTAGTTCAACAACCTTATTATTGCCATTGACCCTAGTTTCGGACACATAACACATCAATACCCAGTGTGTCCAAGGTGCGTGCGAGTGCAGCCTGTTGACCTGTTTGTCTTAGAGTGCAAACGTTGCACGTCGCCATGGAAAGAGGACAACGTAGCCTTATAAGAGACTGTTGCCGATAGGCGTCCGGTGGGTGTCTCGAGAACGTGGCTACAGTTGGTTCTACTCCAATGGCACTTCAGTTGCTGTCAGTTAAGCTGGGAATTATAGAAGGAAAGTTAGTAACGGGGCTGGATGGTGGAAAAGAAAGAAGGGAGGCACCAACAGTAGCATGTTTTCGCTTATCCGCCCTGCTGTATGCAACAGATAAGGCCGACGCTTGATAATCTGTGCGACGGCCGATGCAGGATGGAATTTATGTTTGAAGAAAAGTCATCGAATAGCATCCAATGGTTACCAAGCAAAGCGGCTGTTTCCATCTTCGATGCACCATGACACCACCAGGGTTTGCGACCTCCCTTCGGGCTAGCACAGTTTTGTTCTAAAATCATTGAGTGTTTCGTTATGTTCGCTCCCAGCCGGGATGTATCGGCAAGCGTCCAAATGTTGAAAATCAGATTTATCACATGAAGACATACCTGCTGATAATCAGTTCTGACGAGCATACAACCGATGTTCGTTGAGCGCTTACTCACCCCGAGTGCCAGCGTACTTTGATACGCGTTCACAGCATCTGGTTTCACCAGTTAGTTGATGCCTATGCACACAGCGTCGCTGCATGCGCCCGCCGAAACGAACTCTAACATCGCACGTACGTGTGCATGATCGGAGTCCTCCTTTGTGCTGTAGGTTGAACGACAGTTTTGGACAGCTTTCTTAGCGGTAAGTAATCGCGATGTGATCGATTTGTTTCCATGGCTGGTCTTAGGCTGGCGGGCGCCATGTTACTCTCTTTCCGATGCTGTGTCGGAAGTTCGTACTCTCAAGGAATAGATGAGCATCTTTACGTAAGTGCAAAAACCGCTCACTCTTCTCATTTCGGGATCCTACATCGTCTTGGCCGCTCAGTTGCAGCTTATCGGGGTACAATACTCCAACTTGAGCGTTCCGATCAGCAATCAGCACTACAGTATCCGTGTTCCTTCTGTAACGAAGGAGCTCGTTCAGTTGGTGACCGAAGTTACCTTTCACCAAGTCGATGCTACATTTTGTGGGGGCATAGGCAGCAATGGCTTCGCGCGAATTCGTAGCTTTGAAAGAATCTGCAAGTTTAGCGACGCACATTCAGATACTCATGGTTATCCAGTCTACCCTAACTACCTCAGGCCGGGGACTCAGACTAATGCCCACACCCGCATTCGATGCTGCATCAAATCCGGATAGATGCAGTGATAAAGTATCGCCATTGTCATTTGAAGCGGATTGTGAAGTGCACACTGTGCTCGAACCTTGTAGATGAGTTTTCGATAACCATCGTTTATCGATTGATAGAATCTAGTGTTTGGGAAAGTGCTGTCTGTTGACGCATCTGTAACAAAGCTGAGAGAATCCAGTTTTAGAGAGGCTCGAGGGATCTAAATAGAAACAGATGAAGTAAAATGGTCCGTATGGTTGGACATGGACCTGTTAACAGCGAGGAATTGACGTTCCACGATTGTGTGCGCTTTGCAACTAGAAGACAAACCCTTTTCATAGGAAGATGAGATAAAAGTGATGTGATAGAGTGAAGATATGGATGCAAAAACCGTAAGAAGGAGGACAAGAAGACAGGAAGCCGTGCAAAGTAACGCGACCACGCCTATCCATCTCACTCGATGCAACACATAGGGCACCGTTGAGTATTCTCTGCGACTGCCAGAACATCATGAAATTATGTGAAGTGAATTTCATTGTGTTGCTTGGGCGAGATACTTTCAGGATGGCTAGGTCTATAGAGGAGAGCAATTGAATTTCTCAACCAGAGCCCTTGGTCCAATACCTGATCGCGAGACAGAGGGAGTTTAGTAATGAGCTATAGGAGTCCGTTTTGTAGAGCCACTCTCACTCCAGTTCCAACCAGAAAGACCAGAAGACCGAGTTTGTTTAGCCTCTAAGCATTAACCGATCTAATATGAGTGACTCTGAACGTGCAAGAAACACCGCCCACCAGCACAACTCAGTGGATTTCGGAGGCACGCAAACCATCGCACCACCATGACGTCCAGTCTCATTGCGATGGTACATTTCCATCCATTCTGCAGTCTCAAGTGATACCTAGCTCCATTGAACATCTTTCATGAAAATAGGTTCATTATAAACGATCAACTATCGCAGGTGTAAAAATACGAATCTGAGCAACTCAACTTGATTTTGACACGTGTCGATTTACAAATAGTAACACTCAATTGCGTGCTCAGTTGGTGCAGCATCCACTGGAAGTGGTGGATCTATTCACCTACCTTGGTAGCTGTGTCACCTCTAGTGGTCACATCACTGAGGATATTACTTCGCGTATCAGCAGTGCCAGTTTGGCTTTTCATAGGCTCAACTGTCTATGCATACTGCGGGATATCAGTTTGTGAGTGAAAGGTCGGGTGCATAACGCTGCGGCAAGGCCAGTGTTACTGTATGGATCAGTGACCTGGCCAGTTCTCAGTGAAGACATTAAACGCTTGGCCGTGTTTGACCACTAATGCTTGCAGAGTATTGCTGACCTTTGGTGGTAACACCCAGGGAGCAATGCTGAGGTCCGCCACTTGTTTTTTGGCAAAAAACCTTCTGACACCTTACTCGAGTGTTTGCTGCATCTTTACCGACCGACTTCCTCGGCCTGCATTATGCGCCGTCGTTGCGCCAATTTAGGCGAAAGTTCGAGGTGGCCAATCCATGACGGGACATGAAGACACAAAGAAATTGACTTCGAAGCTTGGTCCGGTTGATGTCTGCTGCCTTCCTTGCCGAAGACCTCGGGATGGTCCACACCAATAGTACAGTCTGTGGCGTTCCTGCATTCGCTTTCTTACATCCAGGTCCGTTAATTTTCACTCCTACCGGATTTGCATAACACACTTCTTTATTTCTTTTTACATTATATTTCCATTTAACCTCATTTCTTACTGTTGTCAATTGTTGTTATTTTAGTGATAAGTGGCGACAACCGGATCCATCGCCTGGATCATAGTTATTTGTCCGAACCGAACTACGGCATTTGCTGGTAGAATTTGGCCACATTGTCGATAGTCGATCGGCCAATATTACTACCCACATTACTACCTTATTACCATCGACCATCGCTAATTCGTCCATCGTTGCTTGTAAATCCATTCGTGTCTTTTCACGGGGAAATCCGGCTAGTCTACAGCCAGCTTCTTGGCCTTCTGGTTATATTACTCGATTTTTTGAATAACATCAGTCGATCTTATCCAGTACGTGTGTCGGACGGCTGCGCATGCGTCTTCCCACTAGGTGCTACACACTAGACAAATATTGTACCCGGTGGTACTAATTTAGCTGCGTGATATCTCTCGGGGGTCTGTGATTTAGTGGTGTTGATTCGATTGCTAGTCACTCTTCTGAAAACAATTGCGTCCTATTTTTTCATGCAAGCAATTTTTCAATTCCTCTCTTAGGTTGACGATTTCTTGGAAACCTTATCGAACACTTCAAAGGAATCAAACCGGCTTCGGCTTTTTAAATCAATAGTTAAAAAATGCACCGTACCGGATTTAATTTCCCTGATACGTTTGATCACACAAGACCTTCGGACTAATGCTGGATGTAAACAAGTGTGAGTTATGATTTGCATATTAACTTACAGTCGCGGAACAATGCGTTGGTTATAGTTTTTGTCTGGATTAGAGTTTATGTTTTTTCGGGCTCAACAATTGTTCCACATACACATTTATCAGCGGATCCCATTGCACATTTGTACCGTTTACTTTCAGCTTAGATGGCCTGCATCCCCAGGCTTATGCCGCCTACCAGGCTTCCGGTGATTTGAATTCCGTGCTTCACAAGGTTATGTGTCCTTCGTCGCTCTCCGAGAATGCTGCACCAAAATGTAGGTCTAAAAAGCATGATCAGTCGCGCCGGATTAGTACGGGAATTCGCATCAACATTCCGATCAAGCCTATGTTGGCAGAACCTTGCCGTTCTGCCGCACAAGCCCTATCCAAATCATGTACCGACGGTTGGCTGTTGGCTGAGATAAAGTATGACGGTGAACGAATACAAATACACAAGGATGGTGATCAGTATCACTATTTCTCTCGTAGTCTGCGACCAGTCCCAGCGAATAGAGTGAGTCAGCGATTGCGCCTGTGGTGTTGTATTCGTCTATTCAATCATCCCTGCAATCATACTGCCAATAAAGGCGTTTGCATGTCTCATTCATTTATGAACCTTTGGTCTAGCAAAGTTTGCGACGCATGCACTCCTGTTTGTATAAAGGGTATTTCTAGGACAACTACACCAGTGCGGACCATTCATTTTGCTAATTTGCACTTACTTAACAATTCACCACCTTTAGACTCAGTCGGACAGCCATCACATGCCCAGAGAAGCACTATATCTCCGTCTCATACCTTCAGGAATCGTCAGCATTACTCATTACATCTGCCTCCTCTGGGGTTCGAAACCACAACTAGGTTGTTGCCAGTCCATAGTTGAGACCACTGATTTACTAGGGGGCGGTAACGACCGTCGTGACTAAGTTGCTAGATGTGTTATAGCGCCAGAGAGAATGAGCGCTGCTGATGATTCCTGAAAAGATGAAACGGCCACACAGCAGTTTTCCGGGCCTGTGATGGCTACCTGACTGAGTCTAGATGTGATGAATTTCTAGCTATATCATGCAAATCACCGTACTACTTCCTTGTCATTCGCGCTGATTGTGGCCCAGCTAATTTGTGACTTCTGTCAGTCGAGTATGCTATTGCCGATTACGGCTTAACACCATGCGATCGATGGATCAGTGACAGAATGTCACTAATGGATCTGTTCACGCATTCATCCATGTATCCATGGTACATCTTTTCTTTCTTCTCTCATAACGGAGATGGAGTACTGTACGGGATTGTTGTCTTGTCACTTAAACTGTGATGCTGGATCGTAACGTAACACTATGAGTTACCTACTACTCTAGCCATTGAGCCAGAATGGGAAACAATTCGCACGTACCTTCAGAGCTTCAGGACTTTCAGTGGTTAGATGGTCAAATCTCTTCGGAAGTTGGGTACAGATCAATTACCTTCTTTCCTTAAAACAGTCATGCGGGACAACTGGTGCTTACAGCTTGACGGGCATAGAGTACGAGTGCCACGTAGTCTCTAGCGTTTGGAGACCACTGTCGGGTGCTCGGTGGTTTGCTACCACCGCCTCAAAGCAGACAGCATACTAGCCATCCTCAGCCTGCGCTTAGACGTGGTCGCAGGCACGTAACATACTGCGGCCGAACGGCTCGTGTGAAAGCAGATCCAAGTGAGACTATGTAGTCACATTCCCCGGCTGGGCTTGCTCCCCATTATCTTGGGGCTTAGGCGGTTGCGTCTAAGCCTAGATGTAATGCACCTCGAATAAAACTCGACTTTTGGAATGGGCAACCGGAATGTATCACCTACCTTCTAAGTCCCTTCGATAGTACTGGTTATCATACCTCTGTCTCCATCCACATGCAACTCTCTTCTTTTCCTTCCATTGAGCAAGAGGTGGCCGTTGACTTCACTATTGGCTCTCTCGATACATGTGAATCGTCATTAAAACCAGGGTCCACGCTGTAGGCAGATTGGCCAACAGGCCATACTAACTTCCACTCTTCACTCTTAGTTTTGATATATACTGTGTCCACGAAGCACGCATGGTAACGAATCTTCGACTATCTGGTCCCGAATCTGTCGACTTTGATAACACTCTTCACGTCTCTTAGGCTACGGAGTCAATGGCTGAAGGTGTTCATGGTATTCTTTTTGCCCTCAGCAAACTCGAATAGATAGATAGACTTGTCTGTTGATCGATGTGTTTCTTGTCCGTTTCGATTTGACCCTTGAGCGTCAGATGATTTTTTTTGGCATGTGTTTGTTTTCTTGTCCTCTCCCGAACTTCGTTGATCTGCCCTCAAGCAAACGCACCTTCCTAACACAGCCTATTAGTTTGTTCGGTGTACGGTCTCCGTCGTGCGTCACTCTGGAACTCAGCTTCCGTGCAAGGCTAGATCTGCCTCTCGGTGGGGTGTGATGTCTGTCTTTACTCATTCCGGCAGTAGGGATATCTAGTTCGAACATTCATAATAAAGTCAAGCCTAGGCACTCCACTGACACTCTTCTGATCGCGACAAAGCGTTCCTCGGAGTTAGCTAGTCTGGCACCATAGCAGTGAACACTCCTGGACGTCGTACAGAACACGTTCAATCCGCCTTTTACTGATGTCGACGGCCAACTTTTGACGGCCACAGCGATAGTCTCTGACTAGCATACAATCTGGTCGCAGCGTCCATTTTTCTCGTCCGACAACATACTACTGGTCCAACACCGGTCGGATAACGTCATGTTCCAGACGTAATTGATTGTTCATTAGAGTTTCGGCGAGGGAACAGCTGCTCAGGCTCCACGGGTTTGCAGTGATTCTGTTGTTAAGACTGTATATCCAGTATTTCCGCTGTCCTTCCATCCTCCCGGGATTACAGTAGAAAAAACCTAAATGTGTCGACAAATCTCTATACCTGCCCCTTTGATTGTGGATGGAAAGGAGGTTCACTTATTAAGCGGGCAAACGTGAACTTGGCAACCTTGCAGGCTGGAGTCCACATGCTTGGCTCGAAACGTCACAGGACATGGCTTGCAGTGGGCGCCAGTTACGCGTCTGTTGTCCTCGCCGTGTCGGACTGCCCTTGTAAAGCGCGTCTGGTGTTATCTTCGGGGTGATAACTGGTTAGTACACGGGTAGTGAAAACCGCAAGAACGCTGTTTCGCTACTACCGCCTTATCTTTGCACGACGGCCAGCTATTGGTGACGATGTTGTTGACAAGGCGTTAGCGCGTTGACTCTGAATGTTTGCTTAAGAAATGAAGGTTTTTCCTTATGTTCGTCGTTTCTCCATTGTATTATTTTTTGATCCATAGGTCACAGTTTTTGTACTGCAACCAAACGTCAGTTCAGAAGACTGACACACTGTTGTTGTTGTTGTTGTTGTTGTTGTTGTTGTTGATGATGATGATGATGACTTATTGTTATGCGGTTGACACGAGTCGGGGCAACTCGATCCACTTCGCTTTAGTGCTCGGATCATAGTTGTTCCACTAGGTGTGGTTGGTCCGTTTCGTCTTCCGTGCCGGAGTTCACGCAACTAATCTTGTGTTTGGCTTGACTTATTGCGACGCAGAGATCGCAGCCTGGACCAGTGACAAATTTGTTGTCGTATCATAGTTGAACTACTTGCTTATGATACGGTGCAGTGAGACTCTCCTTGAAGCTATCTCACAAAATACGTTTATATTCGCACTATACTCAACACTGATCAGGCTGGCTTGTTTGATCAGCAGACGGGATTGAACGTCTTCTTACTTCCGCTGCTTATTTAATAAACATGTTCACGGCTGACCGCTAGGGGTCTTTTTTGTTTGCAAAAACTAATAACGGGAAATTACGTTATCTACCTGGTTGTGTGCTTTGTGTCTATCTTACCTTCCGCACGGTAGTCCTCGCGACCCACTCGGAACTCGACTCAATAAAGAAATCGACCCACGATCAACATCAATGACAGGATTTCTTTTGTCTCTCAGCCGAGTTTTCTAAAGTTCTTTCTAATACAGGGTAGTGGAAGTGCAAGAGACGTACTCACGGATGCCGCTTTCTCTGCACTCGATAACCATCTGCTTACGATTCTGTGTTGTCGATAACATGCAGGTGTTTTGCTCCTGTATGTTCCCCCATGCTTTTCAATTTTTAGCTTGGGCCCCTCCTTTTCTCCATTATTACTCCTCAGTAAAATGATACTCATGGTCGTTCGAAGCGGGTCAACTATAAAATGTGCTACTGTTGCACTGTAAATGATGACGAACACATAGTTGGTTCGTTGAACATACTGTACTGTACTGTACTGTGCTCTTTTAATGGTGCCTTTACTTTTCGCAAATATGAACCTCGTCTTTATTTGTTTGGCTAACGCAGTGTGCAGCAGGTTCTTTCCGTGGATATCAGTTTTTACATTTGCGATTGATTTCTCAGTTTTGAAACACTATTCTCAAATGAGCTTTTCAGAGGACTCACATAAGTTGCACCTAATGGGGCCGTTCACTTTTTTCACCATCGTGTGTTTCTCACCTTAAAAGTGCGTCGTATAGTCACACAACCAAACTAGCACCCCTCTGCTTCTCACTATGTCAGAACAGTCACACAGTGATCGATGCGCTTACATTCCAGAGTGAATGCATCACTGATAGTAGCCAGCTGGTTGTAACATGATCAGTAAGATTTGTGCACTTGTTCAAAACATCGGCCGGCTTTGATGACAGGGGACAAAACTTACTGCTTGCGGATAGAAAGTACCATGCTGCCTAAAAAGGGCATCAGCAATACGCCAGTAACTGGTACTGACGCCTCGCTGCCGCGCAACCACTGCAAGCCGCGCGTGGGCTATGGATGCTGGGCGGTTCGCCCGGTCTCCGACGCAGGCTGGAACCCGCAACCTCAGGATTACGAGGCAGGCTTGTGATTCTTAAGGCCACGGGCCGACACAATGCTGCCCTAGGGACGAGTGTTTCTTTGTGGGTCGTGAACGTTGCCACTGCGCTATGATGACATTATGTTCGTTGTAACTTTAAACTACAACTATCTTCGAACCATTGTTCATATTTACTAGTGGGAGCACTAAATGACTGCTGGTCGGTAACAAACCTTAAAACATCACGCTGAGCTGTTTTTTGAATGGTAACCGTCCTTTATGTGCTCCATAACTGGTCCCTTTGGTGTGCATCGTTTTCGATAATATTGCGTCTAGTTGGTTGATTCTCTTAGGTGACCATTTGCTGTGTGGAAAATGGTGCATCTGACAGGTTAATGGGGTCGGGTTGGATCTTGGAGGTCAATCAAATCAATGCCCCGGAACACTACCGAGTTCGGTCAGTAGCACATTTAGTGGGGTTTTTCATCCATCTCTTTTCGAACTCATTTCTTTGATTTTTGCTTTTTCTGTCACTTCTGAATCCCCTTTTGGCGGTATAATTCATTAAACTGAATCCACATACTACTTATAGAATGAAGAGTTATAGGAACTCACATGTTCTCTAGAAAACTTTCTTGCTATG